TATTTAAAATAGGATTGTTTAGTCATATAAACAGATACAATACAAGTGAAATTGAAAGAAAAATCCAGAAATAAATCCAATGATATATTGTAGTTTGTGTAATAAAATAAGTGTTACATCACAAATGATAAAAAAGTATTTGTGTGTGTATGTGTGTGTGTGTGTGTGTGTGTGTGTGTGTGTGTGTGTGTGTGTGTGCACATGCACACACTGGTCCTGGGGCTTGAACTCAGGCCCTGAGAACTGTCCCTGAGCTTCTTTGGCTTAAGGCTAGCACTCTACTACTTGAGCCACAGTGCCACTTCCAGCTTTTTAAGTAGTTTATTGGAAATAGGAGTCTTTCATGGACTTTCCTGTTCATGTTATCTTTGAATTGCAATCCACAGATCTCAATCTCCTGAGTAGCTAGAATTATAGATGTAAGCCACTGGTGCCTGGCAAAAAAAGTAGACTTTTTAACTGGTGGTACTGGAAATGTTCGATACCCATATAGAAACCTTAAATTAGGTCTGTTCCACATATACCACACATATATGGAATACATATTTAAACATATCCCACATGGGTGTGAAAAGAGGAAACTGTATAAGTAGTACCAGTACATCTGGATGACTTCCTCTATTAATTAGGATAAAGGAAAACTTTCTGAACTATGACTCAAATGCATAGAAAAAGAGGTAATTGTATTATTGATATATTGCCAGAACCACTATAAGCAATAAAACATCTGGTAAACCATATATGATATCATATACAAATAGATCCTTAATGTAGAGAAACATCTAAATATTAAAACTGTTAGAAAAATGAGCAAATGTGAACAGACATAAAGTTAAATGTTTCCTAAACATATCAGAAGATAGAGTCTTGCGTGCAATAAGAGTAATATTAATTAGTTCATTTTAAGATACAATTTCTCACTGGAAAAAATCCAGTAAATTTATAACATAGTTTTCAGGAAAGCGAAGGCAAAACAGATTCTCTACTTATGGAATTCATTTAGAATGAAATAACCACTTGGGAAGGAAATTTGAAAATAATTAGCAGCACTTTATATATGTTTGGTTGTTGACATGAAAATCTCACTTTTAGAAATGGAGCTTAAAGACACACAGGAAAAGTATTCAAGAAGTCATGCAGAAAAGACTCAGTGCAAAAGTACCCATTGCACTATAAACTTTCAATAATCTAAATATTCATCAGTAAGGAACTGGGGATTAAAGAATACCCAAAAGTGTATATATCTATAGTACTATGTAACTGTAAATAGAAATAACGAATTTATATATATATATATATATGAGTATCACCATATAGGAGTAGCATAGCAAACTATATTATTGATATATATACTATAAGGAAAGTAGACAAAAGCATATAGATTATTATTACTGCCTATCTACCCCTCATTCATCTATGTATTTATTTCACAAAAATAAATGAATTAAGAATTTGGGGGGAGGGAATGGTTATCTATTTTGGCCAGATAGAACGCAATGAAAGGATCAAGAATAGAAACCATACTTTCCTGAACAAATCTTGTTTTGTAGATTTAGCTTGAGAAATACATAAATATTTTACATATTAAAAAACACTTTCTACAAAGTCAATGCAATACTCAATATCCCTACATCATTCATCAAGGAAATAGAAGAAGCAATCCAAAAAGTCATATGGAACAATAAAAGACACAGAATAGCAAAAACAATCCTTAACAGAAGAACAATGCCAGAGGAATATTAATACTAAACTTCAAACTCTACTACAAAGCCATAGTAATCAAAACTGCTTGGTACTGGCACAAGAATAGACCTGAGGACCAAAGCAATAGAACTGAAGACCCAGAAATGAATCCACAGACCTATAGCCACCTAATCTTCAATAAGGGTGCCAAAAAGATAGAATGGAAGAAAGACAACCACTTCAGTAAATGGTGTTGGAAAAATTTATTAATCACCTGTAGAAAACTAAAGTTAGATCTTTAGATATCATCCTGTACCAGAATCAACTCCAAATGGATCAAAGACCTCAAAGTAAAAGCATACACCCTGAAAATATCACAGGAAGGAATAGGAGAAACTCGAGGGATCATTGGCACAGGCCAAAATTTTCTTAATAAAGCCCCACAAACACAGCAAATCAAATAATGGTTGGACAAATGGGATTGCATGAAACTGCAGAGCTTCTGCATGGCAAAGGACATAGCTAGCAAGATCAATAGAAAGCCCATGGATTGGGAGAAGATCTTTACTAGCCATACAATGGACAAGGGTCCCATATCTAAAATATACTTAGAACTCAAAAAATTAAATCCCCCAACAACAAATTCTCAAAGAAACAACCACCCAATTAATAAGTGGGCTAATGAGTTAAAGAGAGACTTCTCTGAAGAGGAAGTAAGAATGGTCAATAGACGCACAAAGAAATGCTCAAATTCTCTGGCCACAAAAGAAGTGCAAATCAAAACAACATTGAGAATCCACCTCATCCCAGTTAGAATGGCTATAATTGAGAAATCTAATAACAGATGCTGGAGGGGATATGGCCAAAAGGAAACCCTACTGCATTGTTGGTGAGAGTGTAAACTTGTTCAACCACTTTGGAAAGTAGTATGGAGGTTCCTCAAAAGACTCCACATAGAGCTCCCTATGACCCAGCAATCCCACTTTTGGGCATTTACCCCAATGATCACAAACAAGGCCACACTAAAGCTACCAGCACAACTATGTTTATCGCAGCATTATTCACCATAACTAAGATATGGAACCAATCTAGATGTCCTCCAGTAGATGAATGGATCAAGAAAATGTGATATATATATATATATATATATATATATATATATGTGTGTGTGTGTGTGTGTGTGTGAATTCTATGCTTCCTTCAGAAAGAATGACACTGCCCCATTTGTTAGGAAATGGAAAGACTTGGAAAAAATCATATTAAGTAAGCCAGACCCATAGAAATGTAGGTCCCATGGTTTCCCATATTTGCAATAATTAGTATAGGTCTAGGATAATTTTATCAGATGAGCAGAAAAGCTCAAAAGCGATGCACATATGAGCATATAAGATGATGCTAAGTGAAATGAACCCTAAGGTATGGACACAAGAGGTTTTTCTTTGTTGTTGTTGGTTTAATGTCTATGTGAATTTTTTGTTTCTTTTGCATGTTCTTCCTTCTATGGTATATCCCTGTTGTCACTGTATTTGATTTTGATACCTTGCATCTCGTATATACTAATTTGGGGAAGGAAGGGGGAATAACAAAATGCTAAAACAAGGACACAGGATGACCCATTGCAACAATAACACTCACAAGACACTATGTTGGAAATGAACTTTACAACTTTGGAGGGACACGGAGGAGTGGAAGAGGTGGGGGAGGGAAGGGAAAACAGGAGAAAAACAAAGGAAGGGGTAACACTGCTCCACGAGAAATGTATTCTCTCTGTACAGTATCTTTACAAGAAATAAAATTTAAAAAACATAAAAAGAAAGTTTTGGCAGGCACCGGTGGCTCACATTTGTAATCCTAGCTATTCAGGAGGCTGAGATCTGAGGATCACCATTTGAATCCAGCCTGAGAAGGAAAGGCCCTGAGACTCTTATCTCCAATAAAAACTTCTCAAGGGGAAAAAATACTTAAATGTTAAGGGATTGATTCATGAAAATTAAAAAAAAAAACAAAATAAAATAAATAAATTTGGTTTCATGATCTACTACTGCATAAATACTACTTAACTCAGTAAACATGCTAGGTTGCTCTGTTGAGGGATTAGAATCCAGGCACCATTGAGACACAGGATTCTAGCTTGAGATCTCCATGAAATTTACTCCAGATATTCTCCCAGGAAGGGAGAAAGCCTCCTGAAGGCTTGACCAGAGCTAAGAGAAGCCACTTTCAAATTCAAATATATTTCCAAAGACAGAGGGAGGTTTCTGTTTCTTGCTGACTATGGCTCAAGGTCTCAGTTTTTATCCCTCTTGCTACAACTGCTCATGATCTGGTAGCTGGCCTCCCAAAGGATAAATGCTTCAAAAGATTGAGAGAGAGAGAAAGAGAAAGAGAGAGAGAGAGAGAGAGAGAGAGAGAGAGAGAGAGAGAACATGCACACCTAAATCCAAGCCATGATATCTTTTCTAACTAAATCTCAAAAGTATCACATATCACTTCTGCAGCATGCTACTGCTTACATAGACTAACCGAATTATAGGATAAAGGTTGAGGGAGACTAGGTGAAGACATGAAACCAGGAGACAAGGGATCACTGGGCTCATAAAACTCAGAATTAATTGACATTTAAATAAAACAGAATGTAATTATTTACTGTAAATGACTTGGAAATAGCATGAATTCACTGCATGCCCCTATATTTTTTTCATGATATTCTTTCAAAAAATATTTTCAATATTTTTGAAAACTGTGATGTCTATGTTTTTATTATGGGACATAATCAATATTTTGGGACTTAGCATTTTTGGTATAGGAGAAATCATATATAGATGTATTCTTGATGAGTTACAAACCTTTATAGTCCTACCTTTGCAAGTATCAGTAAGTCGTCAGGAATCATATCAAACTTTTCACAGGCTTTGTTTTGTTATAGTTGTCTTCATTATTATCTGAACCTATTATCAAGCTATTTAATGTGCTAGAATGCATGAAAAACTCATCCCACATTTACCAACAAACACCTTATATTCTACCTATTTTTTTGTCTGTTATAGACAGCTTTCTTGTGCAGATGAGACAAATACCTGTTAACATACTTGTCAAGCACATGTTAATGGCATAATGCTGAAAACTGTGTGAGGCAAGTTTTCTTCTTTGGGGACCCAATGTCTCAAAAACTACCTGGGCATGAGATAAAGTTCCTTTAGAACTGGGATTTGTCAAGAGACATTGGCTGGCTCTCATATAACCCCTCCCCCGCTTAACTCTTTTTTGTCCCATCCTTTCTTCTGTTCCTTGCTTCCATTTGTCTTTGTTTCTTTAAGAGTCCCAGGCATACAAATGCCCATTGCTACTCTGTACCAACTGGAGACCAGGCCTTGTCCTATATTCATGGTCTCCCCAGGAGAAAGCTTACAGATTCATCTTTGGAAGTGATGGCAAGGAGCAGCAGTTCTGGTCAAGCTGAGGTGTGTATATTGAATTATTTATTCTCTTTGTGAATGAATGAGCATCCTTTGTTGAATGCTATATTTTGATACAGAGCAGAGGATGAGATAGTCTAAGGGTGAAACATACTCTTTATGTTTAGAGAGATTTCCAGGAGGTTTCCTGGGAAAACTCTTTGGATCTCAATCGTAATCTTCTACTCCTCTGTTTGCATTTGGCGCCACTACTGGGCCTCTTGTTCTTCTTGGCTCATTTGCTCATGACTGATTAGACTCAGGCCTTCAGTCTTAACATTCTGCTGGTTAATTGGAAGTAAGAGCCTCATAGATTTTTGTGATTGCACTAGCTTCCTCCTTCCATTGTCAGTCCTCAACCTCTTCTTCAGCTAGCATTATAGACATGAGCCACTGACAGTGGGCTTCCATGTCTTCTTTCCAGAGTTTTCTGGAAGGGTCATAGCACTCCCACTAAATATAGAATCTGGATTTCATCCTTTTTTTACATTGTCCAGTACTAAACTCCCCAATCTAATGAGTCTCTAAGATTTGATCCTCTGCATTCTTGTATAATCAAAGATGTTATTCTGTAAGATCAATAGATGGGGGATGTTAGTGTGTGTGTGTGTGTGTGTGTGTGTGTGTGTGTGTGTGTGTGTGTGTGTGAGTGTACTCTGAAAAGATTTCCTTCCTTTCTTTATGGAACATATCTGAGGCAAATTGAACTTGAAATCAATCACCCAGGTTGATGTTCACCCGCAAGTGCTACCACCTTGCCCCAATTTCAGCCTCAGTGGCTTCTGTTTCCTTGCTTGGGCCTTTCATTATTTTGTCTCAAAGCCCTGTTCATTTTTTCCCACATGGTTTTGTTAGGAAATTGGCCAGAGACCAAATGGAATGCAAAGAGAAGATGCTTTTCTCCTTTCCCTGATCAGAAGAGAGCTCAAGTCAAACTCCTTGAACTCCAGCGTGTTACACGGCCTTTGGAAAGAACTGAAGACCTTGGACCCCATCTCCTCAGGATTTCTCCTCCAGTCTCAGCTGAGCTACCTCCTTATAAAGCACCAAGTTCCTCTGCCAATACCTACAGTCAAGCTCCTTTTCCAGCGATTCTCGAAGAGAGGTTCTCCTGAAATGGTATGGCCATCTTGCTATTATAAGTTTGGACTCCTTTTGTGTTTTCTTTTCTTACACACCATGTTACTGGAATTAAAGTTTCTTTCTTGAACATGACCTTGACTCATACATAGACATTTCTAGTCAGAATAGAATGGAACAGAAAATACACTTAAGGCTTTTAGCTCTGTTTAACTTCCTTTTTATACATTCTGTTTCTGGTGATACTGCAGGTTGTTGGGCCTAACCTCATGACCTTATACTTGCTACCATTTGAACCATACCTTCTGTCCTCTTTTGCTTTAGTTATTTTTCAGCTGCAGTTTCACAATTTTAACCTAGGCCAGCTGGACCATGATCTTCTTATTTATACCTTCCACATGGTCAGGCACGCAACACTGTGTCCAGCTTTTTTGCTGAGATAAGGTCTTGCTAAGTTTTTTTTTTCCCACCACAATAGCTTCAAACCACCACCCTCCCAATCTCTACCTTCAAGCAGCTGGGATTCTAAACTATGTGTCACTCACTAACATTCTAGTAAATTTCTTTTTAAAGGATTTTCCTATCCCAACTTTGTCTTCCCTTAACATTGTAAAGATGGAAGCAGATTTAACATGATGTGTCTACTTAAATTCACTCAGGAGCTGAATTAGTGTGTGGGTCCATGGGAAGAGGGCTTAACTAAGATCTCCAATAGGATGTACCAGTTTCTTAGACATGAGAAGTATCTTTGAAACATGATTTATCACTACCATTTTACAGATTAAGAAAGTGAGACCTGGTGGCTGTCAAGGTCACCCAGCAAATTAATGGCAGACTTGGGCTTGAGACATAATTTCTTTAAAATAAAGCCATAATGCACATCTTTGGCACCAAGCTGAATATAGTATGATCTAAGTTCTCAGAACCACAGGAAGATACCCTAACATAGGTAAAAGTAATACCAGTGAGCAAATCATTAGCCAGAGTGTATTAATAGCATGGCTACAGAGAGAAAAATTCTCCCAAAGGAAGGCCTGGACTCTCTAATTCCATAATCATTAGCTCATAGACATGGTGCTCACTTTGCTTTTAATGTTCCTAATATCTAAGTGATCTTATCTAGAACCCTAGCTTGACACCAATCTCATATCAGCTCAGGGTTTAGTGACATGGTAAATGCAAACTATTGATCCCATGTCTGGCATTTAGTAGGTACTTAAATAAATTTTTTTTCCAACCTGCCATAATAAAATAAATGAAATGTGTTGCCTGCTTATGAGGAGTTCTTAGCAGTAAAATGGCAACCTATGTGAATGCTTAGTTCCATCTGACCCTCTGGCATGAGGCCTTGTGTATATCAGAGATGTTAGCACCCTTATTTCACTTTCATACCTTCATTACCCTGAATTTTTCCACCCACCAGAACTTCTGCAAAATGTATCTAAATATAAGCATATATAATGAACATGTAAGAGGTAGGAGAAGGAAGGGACACAGAGAAAGAAGGAGAGAAGGGAGAGGGAGACTGACAAGAGGACTCATTCTGTTGTGATCAGAAATAACTCAGTTTTCAGTAGGGTTTCCATTAAATCAGCCACAGACCCTTTTTGGTAAAGTTATTATATTGGCTTATGAAACAGCCACTGGGGGATACTTTTGGACCTGGTGGCAGAGAGGAAAAAAGAGTGCTATAAAAATCTCCAGTCAATAGTTTGAGCCTCAACTCAAAAGTGGCACCTGTCCCTTTTGCTCACAACTGATTGGCCAGAACTGATCACATGGCCTTACCCAAGCCCCAGACAACCAGGAAGTACAGCTTTATGCCCAGAAGGGATAAAAATAAAAAGTCATGGTAAAAAAAAAAAAGTCCCAATAGTTATAATCCTATATTTTTAATTGACTTTTAAAATTTCTAGTGGTAACGAATTTATAAGATTATCTCTTTGTTGCTTTGTATGTCCCTCCCCCACAGTATAACCCCTGCTTTCACTATATTTGATGTCAGTATAACTTGTGGAGGAGATGGGGAAAAACCAGTTGTTTAAGGATACAGGTGGATCTGATGCAACAATGAGAAGTACAAGTTGTCATGTCCAAAACGAGCTTTACAACGTCGGGGTGGGGGGGAGGGGGGAAGGAGAAGGATTGGGATGGGGGGAGGGGGGAGGCTGGGAAGGGATGGGAAGGGTAAACAAAGGAGGAGGCTGCAATGCTTGGTAAGAAATGTACGCATTATCCTGCCCATGCAATTGTAACCCCTCTGTACAGTATGTTCACAAATAAAATAAAATTAAATTAAAAAAATTTCTAGTGGTAAAAAAATTCCAAATAAATTTTATTTCCTTAGATCTCTCTCTCTTCAAAGTAAATTAAATGATGATGTTTCTATTTTATATTTAATTTTCAGGTAAATTATGAAAACCTACTATGGTTTTTAAATGATGCAATTTCAGATGACACACAGCAAAATGAAACATTTGTGGACAGCAACCTGAAGAAAACTCAGAGTCATAGTAATCATGCCCAAAGGTATTCTCCCTTTGAATAGGCATAGTACTCCTACATGACTTAGTTCAGGCTGCTGTAATAAATTACTTGAGACTGGCTGGCTTATCAAGAACAGATATTTATCTATCATAGTTCTGAAGGCTGAAAGTCCAAGGACAAAGTCCCAGTAGGTTTTAATTATTTTTGAGTACTTAGTGAGGATCTAATGAGTGTTTTATGTATCCTCACATGGTGTAAATTGATGAGTGCTCTCTGGCCTCTCCTTATAAGGCTACTCAGTAATTTCATTCATGAGGGCCTATCCTTGTGACCTAATTAGCTTGCAAAGATCTTACCTCCTATCAACCATTGTATGGAGAATAAAGTTGCAACATTTGAAATTTGGAGGGACACAAGATTTATTCTATTGCACTAGACTTCTAGGGCTAGCAGGATCTTGTAGGCATCCATTCTAACATCTTAGCCAATGGAGAATCACTTTGTCTTCACCAACGGTTGGCTTGTACACATGGCTCATTTTTCCTCTCTCCTTGTCTCTCTGTCTCTCTTACACAATCTCCTCATATTCAGGACAGCACAGAGAGTTATTTGTAGCAGTTGCAAATGTGCATGTGTTTCTTAACACCAAACATGTGTGTCTTTATGAGGTGACTGTGTGAAAATGAAAAACCTCATTATGAGATGAGAAATGATTGTATGTAGATGCAAGGCTCATCTATAAAGTGTGATTCCTGAAATAGATTCAGTCAGTAAGTACAGATCCTGAATTATAGTTATGAGCAAAATGTTTGAGGTACAGGAATTTTAAAATCCCTTTATATAATCTTAAGGGAACTAAATGGATGCAAATAAAAATAGGATGTGAGAAATATCATTAGAGATGAATCACAATAAACTATGATACTCTCCACATTCTCTGAGAACAGTGACAAATGCAGTGGTGTGAAGCAATAGTATCATTGCCAGAAAACTGAACTCGACTTCTGTCTCTGCCTCTCAATGTCTGTGTGTCCTTGTCATATACTTATCCTGTCATTGATTCTATTCTCCAGCTGGGGAGTGGAAATATGAAAGATTTACTTCATTGATTTGTAGGAATGACTGAGTTAATAAATACCCAGAAAGAGCAGTACATAGTAAATACTATACACATCTCTTTATGATTTTTAAACTATTCTTCCAGAAGACTTCTTAATCATGAATGATATGATGTAATGATTAAGAGCCATAGCACTGGAGTTAATTGCTTTATTCTAGGACAAAGATTAGACTTTCTTGGACAGATGCTCTGAGCCAGGTGTTAGAGATGATTCCTTTCTACAGGTTTCCTCTTTGACACTGATCCTTCATTTGACTGCAGACTCACTCAACAGCAACTGATTGTAAGGCTCACTCTTCTGGGCACAATAAATTCCAAGGTTGGCAAGGCCAAGTCTCTTCTTCAAAGGCTCATAATACAAAGGAAATGATATTTCTAGTCAAGTATAGAAACTGTTCTAGCAGGATCAACAAGCCCTGGAAATATTAGTATACATACATATATATATATAATATATACTGATATATATATACATATTATATACTTACATTTTAATATGAGATGCTCAATAAATATTTGTTAACTATAATTGCCATCTTCCCTTGTTTAAAGAGTTTATGTGACTTGATTATGGAGACACCTGAATAGATACTATGCTCATACATTATGTTTGGCTAGAGGCTTCAATATCCTCTCCTTGTTCAAGAAGTTTCCCAGCTAGTGAGACTGTCTCACTCTTGTAGAAGGGAAGGTTGCCTGTTGCTAGTCTCTCTTTGTTGCAGGGACACATGTCCCAAACTCTGTCTCTGAATGAGAATTTTTTTCTTCTCTCTTTTCTTGTGAGTTCCTGGGAATAGGAAATCATCAGCTTTGTCTCTGGCTTAATACACTGAGTGCTGAGTGGACATGCATATGTGGAATCCATTTACCGCAGCTGGCAAGTTACTTGAAAGCCTGTTGCAGAAGCACATCTGAGCAACCTCACTCATGGCTCTTCTGACAAAGCAGAGGGAGTGCATTTTCCTGACTGGCCACATTAATTAACAAAGAGCCTGGCTTCATTTCTATAAATACCCTAGTCTGTATAATACTTCACTTTCTCTGATGTGCTCAGAATGATGGCTTTATGTAAATAACAGAGCATATTATATTATTATTTGCATACCAGGCTATACCTAGTCTCAAAATATTTCTGGGTTTTCCAGAGATAAAGAGTAGAGTCAAAGACAATACAAGATGTCCCCTAGTTCAGATTTCCTCCTGGGTAAATTCCTTGGATTGGGGGAGCTGGCAGATCTTTGTTAGGATTGTCTTGGCTTTTGACAAGGAATACTTTGAACATCTGATTTGCTGCTGCTAATTACTTGTGTTTGGGAATAGTAATATTAAGTAGGTAAGCTGGTTTAATCACCACTTTTGTTGTTATTATCTCAACTGGGAAAGAAGAGCTAGGGAGATGGATTAAGAAGTCTAGTCTATGTGCAGTCACATTGTCTGGCACCTCCTGAGAAGAGACTGAAGAGCTCACTTTAGTGGAAGACATGTGAAATCTCCACATAGAGTCACATGTGCAGGTCACTGAGACTTAGAAGGTGTCAGGAGGTAGAATCTTGGGAATCCCCAATAGACAGCAGAGTTGAGATACAGCATGGGCGCTGCATACCTTTGCTCAGAGGGGAGCATCTCCTAATCATCTGTCTTTCCCTGTGCCCCTCCCATCAGCGCCTTACCTCAAGGCTCCAGCTTGCAGTCTGAAATAAACAAGAGCCTGCTGGGGATTTTGAAGATGGCATTAAAGGTAGCCAATGGTAGACCTAACATCACAAACCTCAACCTGAGTTTTCGAAAAGAAGATCACTCATTCTCTGGCTGCCTCCCTCTACCCAAGGTAACAACATTAGAGTTCAGATTTTTTTTCAGCTTCCAAAGGCTACTTCAGAACTTAGAGTCTCTAATAGTAAGATACAGTTCTCATCTGTATTCTGCTGGTGGATTCCATTCCATTATCGCTTATTTTCTGTAGTTGAGAGAAAAATAAGACAGATAAGGGATTATGAAATGTGCAGAATTGGCCCAGGAATTACTTACATTGGGCTACTTTCTGATGTTAATACTAGAAAATGTTGGGTCTGGGAAGGTGGCTCAGTGGTAGAGTGCTTGCCTAGTAGACATGAAGCCCTGGGTTCTAGTCCTCAGTACCACATAAAAAGAAAAAGCTGGAAGTGGCTCTGTGGCTCAGGTGGTAGAGTGCTAGCCTTGAGCAAAAGAAGCTCAGGGACAGTGTCCAGGTCCTGAGTTCAAGCTCCAGGACTGGTCAAAAAAAGAAAAAGAAAAAAAAGTAAAAGAAAAAGAAAATGTATCCAAAGAATATTTCACAATGAATAACAAGTATTTTAAGGCCAAATTCATTTCTCAATCCTTTCCCAGCTTCCAGCAAGATCAGCATGTGGTGTCTCCTTCCTTAGGAATACCATATTTTAGAGACTGAGGTAATTTATTGCTGATAGAGGATAGCATGCTGTTTTGAAGCGTTAATTAACAGTGTGGATATGGTTTGTAGACAAAGATCCACAGCCATGTTAATTTATAGATTCTGCAGCCAAATAAAACCCAACCATGAGGCTACTTTATATACAGGTGAAATTACAATCACCATTATTATTAGAACTGGGTTGATAACACTTTCTAATTATGACTCCATTGAGTTCTTACCATATGCTAAGTGTGTTGTTTACATGCTCTCATGTAAACAACGTTGATTTCTTACAAATCATAGTGAAATCCTGGTAAGTATTGTTATACTGACTTAATAAATGAAATAGAACTTAAGCTTAGCAAGGTCAGTTAAATCACCTAAGGGCTACAGGAAACAAGTGGCAGTGTCAAAGTACAGAATATTTCTGGAAACTAAGAGCCAGGATTCGAATTCCATTAGCAAGAAGTAGTCAGAACATTTCCCCTGAGTCTAATCTATAGAGTTAGAATGTTAGAGAATTAGACAGAGTTGGAAAGTACAAGGGGGAAATAGTTTCCACCAGAAACATTGGAACGTACCTTTCATTTTAGATGTACAGGGATTAGCATTGAAAGAGTCAGGAATTTTTTCAAATGGTATTATCTATTAGAAATCCAGGCTACAATGTACTATACACAGGTTCTTATTCTAAAACAAAGCATCTTTCACCTATATGTTAGTGTTCATATATTCTGACAGGCTTTTGGAATATATGAACATGTATGTATGTATATGTGTGTATTACATACGAAGCATGTTGTAGTTGAGACAGAATACTGCAGGAGATTGATCACATCATAAGTGACCTTTGCTATGCTCATAAGAAGACTGACAGAAATAAACCAAGAAGGGCAGGGAAGGTGGCTCAGTGGTAGAGCGCTTGCCTTGCATGTTCGAGGCCATGGGTTCGATTCCTCAGCACCATACAAGCAAAAAGAAAAAAGCCGGAAGTGGTGCTGTGGCTCAAGTGGTAGAGTGCTAGCCTTGAGCTGAAGAGCTGAGGGACAGGGCCCAGGCCCAGAGTTCAGGCCCCACGACCGGACCCAAAAAAAAAAAAAAGAAATAAAACAAGAAGCAGCAATTTGTTGTTAGATTAGAAACCATAAAATATCATAGGTGAAGCCTGAAAGTTTTCAAATGGGTAGAACATGAACAACTTCAAAATTAAAATACATTTATGTGATCTCATTGAACCTCAGATTTTTCACCAGGAAAATCTAGATTCCAAATAGCTACCACTTATATCTATTGTGAAGATTAAACAAGACAAATATGGGAAAGTACAGAGTATGCCTCTCCATGTACAAGGCCCTACATGAACGCAATTTCCTTTTCTGCACATATATGTTTAAATCAGTTCAGTGAGAGGCTCACTTCACAAATAGCCCAAGGAAGGAGGATTTTTCCCACCACTGAGTGATGACACATTGAGCATTGGCTATCCTTTAGACCTCCAGGCTTCTTCCTCCACAGCTGTCCCTGAAAACTTAACCTTTATGTTTAGAGATCCAAGGAATGAGACACATTTTCCTTAAAGCTTCTCTGACTTTCTTGGGGCATCTGGTGTCTCTTAAGACATCTGGAACTTACTCGCAGTATGAAACAGTTCTAAGAGGCATGTGAAATAGAATTTTGTTTCCCTAGAATGCGAGGCAAATTGCGACCTAAGGAACTTTGGATACAGGAAGCAGCAACAGTCATGCCTCAACGTGCTCACTCCTAGACACAGGACTTAAGAGAAGAATGAGGAAAGCTACATTGTTTGGGGAGGGGAACCAATAGTCCTTACTACATCTCTCCCTGCTTGAAGCTCAGGAGAGAGAATCATGGATTTTTGTGATTATTCCTTAAAAGCTGAGCACTCTCTCCCCAGACACACACACACACACACACACACATCTATACACCAACAATTCCTTTTTTTAATTGTGAAAATACTGTACAGAGGGCTTACAATTACATGGGCAAGATAAGGAGTACATTTCTTATCAAGCATTGTTGCCTCCTCCTTTGTTTACCCTTCTCATACCATCTCCTCCCCCCCCCCCGCAAAGTTGTAAAGTTCGTTTTTCGACATAACGACTTTTACATCTCATTGTTGCAATGGGTCCACCTGTATCCCTATTTAAACAATTTGTTTTTTCCCTTCCCC